CTCCTGTCACACCGCTCCAGCCGGGCTCGCTGCGGGAGAGACCTGGTGAGGACGGTGGAGAGCAGAGAGCCCCTGGGGCACCCCAGGCTGCAGGATCCCTGCCCGGGGCAGGGGACACGCTCACCTCTCAAACCAGCCCCGGAAACGCTCCTCGGTGCCCGGCAGGTTGTTGTGCGGGTTGAGGATGTAGAAAGTGCTGCTGGGGTTCACGCCGCGGCTCAGCACAGATCCTGCCCGCTGCCGGAGTGGGGACACGAGACAAGTCAGCCCCAGCCCGGAGCAGAGCCCGCAGGGTGCCAAACCCTGCGGTGCTGCAGAGCCAGTGTGCGCAGAGCCCCGGCCCGGGGTGCACAGTCCCTGGCCCTCTCACCTTCTGCGCCAGGGAATAGCCAAGCAGGAATCGCAGGGAAGGGAGCCTGGTTACGGGCACAGCCTTCAGACACGCCATGCTCTCCCAGGGTAGCTTCTGCAGGTGCTGGGAGGAAGAGGAAGGGGTGAACAAAAGGCAGCAAGCAGCCACGCAGAGTACAGGCAGGAGCAGAGACTCACCTTATCCAGCACCAGGACAAGGGAGCCGCTGGCCTGCCTGGCGCAAGCTCTCCGCTTCTCCAGGGCTTCCTGCAAGAGGAGCTGGGCCGTGTAGGGCTGAGCTGGGCAGAGCCCAAAGGCCAGGGACTGCAAATCTTGGGCAGTGAGGAGGGGAGAGGAGTTCAGCACAACCTGCAGGAAGGAAGAGGGGAGCAGAAATGCATAAACATTGACAGCACCATGCTGTAGGCTGGCACGTGATGCCAGGCTGTTTGGCTGCCCAAACTGCTGCCCCAGCCCAGGCCAACTAGGATCTCCAACACAAACCTTGAGGAGCGCTGCATCTGCGTCCTCCCAACCACATTTCTGGAGCTGGTTGCACAAGCTGGAAGCCTCCTCTGCCAGGCTGGGCTCCTGGCTGGCAGGGAGCAGGGCCCCCTTCCAACAGCCCAACACCTGCATCTCCAGGGTTTCGATGAGGTTCTGCAAGAGGCCAGAGTCACAGGGGGTCTGGGCATGGCAGCCCTCTTCAAAAGCTGTGCCAGGTGCCACCAGGCAGATCAGGGTGAGGGAAGTCTCTCCCCAACCTTCATTCTCTGGTCCAGCTCCGAGCGACACAGCCACCAGTCCCTCTTGTCCGTGCAGTTGCTGGATTCCTTCTGCTCCTTCTGAATGGCATCGAACTCGCTCAGCACCGAGCTCAGCGGGGCCTGGAAGAGGAAGGGAACAGTGATCCCAGCCCCAAACTCACCCTGCAGCTGGGCTTGTCCCCTCTCCCTTTCCTGCCCTCACCTTGGTGAGCGCAGTCGGGATCCGGATGGTCACAGGAGCGCTGCCCTTCTCCAGCCGTGTGAGCAGCAGCATGTCTCCCACGGAGGCAGGCTGGAGGCTCACCAGGGTCAGCACGCAGACGGTCACCCCTGGGAACCAGACCCAGACCTCAGGAACAGCCAGGGGACAGTCCCAAGGCCACACAGCCCTCCAGGACTCAGCCCCAGACCGACACAGAGCAGTGAGCTTCCCAGCCCTTGCTTTTGGATGAGCCCTTACCACTGGGGATGTGCTCCAGCTGCTCCCTGAAGCCATCCTGCTCCTGAGGCCCCATCCCCGTGGAGCTGAACTCGAAGAGGTCTTGGAGCTGAGCGAGGTGGTGGCTGCGCACAGCAGCGCTCTCCTCCCGCAAGGAGAGCCCGTGGAGCTGCTCGGCTACGTCTGCTGCTGACTTCTTGGCTTTGCTGGAGAGGGAAAGACAGTCAGGGAATAAATCCACTTTGAAATTACCTTTGCTGGGGCTCCAAAGTTTTTGGCAGAGACCCCCCTCCTGCTCAGCAGTGCTCTAAGGTTAAAAGCAGGGGAGGCCGAGGGGGTTTTGTTCCACAAAGCCAGCCAGGGAGGGTGGAGGGACTTACTGAAGTTTCCTGTGGACCGTGCTGAGCAGCTGATGGCGGGTGGTGACCGAGACAGACTCCGACACCAGGTAGGCAGTGGAGATGGGGTCCTGCTTGCCCAGGGACAGGGCCAGGAGCTGGCAGACTTGGCTGTAGAGGGCACTGGGAGGGCAGTGGCTGATGCAGTTGAAAGCACCTTTCAGGAATTCACAGGCTTTGTCCAGGGAAGAGACATCTGGAAGGGGCAAAGCAGCAAATCCCCCCCAAGGCAGAGGTGAGCTCCTGACAGAGAGCAGAGCACCTGAACCCTTTGGCAAAGCTCAAAGCAATGGGAAATTGTAAGAGGAGGTGGAGAAGGGCTAGAGCAGAGGTTTCCAGAGCCGCCTGCCCGAGGAGCTGGTAGGAGAGGGGACAAACGTGGATTCCCCAGCACAGCCACGAGCCCCCAGCCCAAAACCAGCACCCTGCACAGCAACAGCCCACAGAGCAGCCCCTCAGCATCGGTCGCTCACCGCCAGCCGTGGACAGGGAGGAGGAGAGGGCCTCCAGGTGCAGGGGGCCCCCGCTGCCAAGCCTCCGTATGGCCAGGATGTCCTCACTGGCGTCTCGCCGCAGGACCTCACGCTCCCCGTCTGCGCTCTCCTGCCCACGCTGGGGCTGCCGTCTCCTGCCTTAAGGGAGAGCAAGAGGGGCCTGGTGGCAGGGACAGCCCAGGGCCTTGGATATCTCCACCTCCAGACAGCTGCTGGGGTAGCTTGAAGGCTCCCTGCTGATTATCCCCCCCACTCCCAGGCAGCCTTGCTCACCTGGGACTCCCTCTTCTTCCTCAGAGGCCCGCAAAACCTCAAAGCTAATCTCAAGCTCTTCTTCCACCTTCTCCTCTTCCTCAATGGTCCTCAGAAGTTCCCGCTCCTCCTCTGCTCTCCTGCCAGGAGCCCTGCGGGTTGTTCGCTCTCTTTTCTCCTCTGTGCCCCCAGCTCTGCGGGAGCCCGCTCGCGCTCTCCGGGGCTGGGCATTGCTGCTCCGGGAGCTGTCCTCCGACGAGCTCGTCTGGGACCCCTCTGTGTCGGCAGCCGTGGCTTTGGGGCGCAGGGCTCTCCGGGTGCGGCCTGTTGGCTGGGGAGTCTTGTGGCTGGGGCCTGGGGTTTTGCCAGCTGCTGGGGTCACCCCCAGTTTGGGATCCTCCACGTCACTGTCATCACTGAACGTTACCTAGACCAGAAGGAGACGTCAGGGCTACAGCCTTGCTCCCCAGCCTGCCGACACCTTTTCAGTGCTGTCCCCAGAGCAGAGACTGAGCTCCCATCGAGCTCTGCAAGTTGACAGCCCCAAAATCCTAAGGGGGATCACCCTCCAGCCTCCTCACGTGGCCAGGGCACCAGAGACAACAGCTCCAAAGCTCCGGCTGAGGCTCAGACTGCACACAGACTCCTTATCTGGTGCACCAGATGGGAACAGGATAACCGACAGCCTGTAACACACTCAAAACCCTCCCAACCTCAGCTGGCTTGGTGGCAGAGCTGAGCCTCTGCCTGCAGAGGGGATACTGGACCAGTCAGCTAGAGGGATTTACAAGGAGCAGGATGGAAATCAAGTGGAACAGCTTTTCTCCTCTGCAGGGCTTTCCCTTAGGAGCAGGAACCCAGCCCAGAGCAGACCAGGGGGTCACATTCGAGCCCCACCACTCCCTGCTTACCTTCAGTCGAGACTTGACTCTCCCCAAAGCTTTGGGGGCTTTCAGGAGCTGGGACTTGCCGGCCGGAGGGGAGGATTCGCTGAACACCGTGAAGGGAGCCCTGGGGCCCGGGGCTGCCACAGCACCGTGGGCACGTGCCTTGGCAGGGGGACAGGGTTTCTGGCGTGGGGTGCAAGGCACTGTCACCGGTCGGATAACGATGGGGGGCACCTCAGTGTCCAAGTCACCCAGAGCAAAGACATCATCGGAGTCCGCTGCAGCCAGGGGCTTCGCCCTCTGGCTCTTCTTCACTCTGGGCTTGGGCCCTGGTGCTGTCACTGTCACCTTCTTGCTTTTATTCTTCTGGGGCAGAGCTTCATCTGCCTTGAGTGCCTTGGATGCAACCGATCCTTTGGGATCTGTTGGAGCCAGCGGTGGCTGCCAGGCCCAAACGCTGGAGAAGACACTGGCCACAGAGCCCCCACGCTTAGAGGCCAGGCGGCAAATGGTGGCAACCGCTTTGGCCAGCAGCAGGGTGGCCCTGGACATCTCCAGGCTGGGCAGGTGAGGTCTCCGGGATGCCAGGAAGGTCAAGCCAGCTTCCAGGTGCTCCCACAGCTTCTCCTCAGGCTGGGGGCCGGCCAGGCTTTGAAAAGCCAGCGTGGCATAGCCCGTGGCCATCAGATCATCCAGCAGCTCCAGCGCAGGCAGGGCCCGGCCAGTCACTGTCACGGAGCCACCCCACGGCTTGTCCCGCCGCACAGCGGCGAGGCGAGCGGGCACGGAGGGTCAGGTCGGAGCACAGGGAGCAGGGACACGTGGAAGGGTGGGCAAGGAAGGCCAGGCATCTCCTCTGCTTGGGTTTCAGCTCCGGCGACGTGGTGAGAGCAGTGGGCTTTTCCGGCCCGCTCACCGTGGCCACAAACTCAAGCGCGGGGCCCTTCAGAAAGCCCTCCTCTTCCCCGGGCAGCTCCGAGCTGGGATCTCGCTGCTTCCTGCCCTCAGGCTTGCCCTTCCGGGGCAGGATCTTTATTTGCCCTTTCTGCTTCTCGTTAGCTTCAAACTCTGCAGGCAGAGGGGAGAGAGACAGGTTAGTCCGACATCCTCCCCGCACCGCTCTCCTGAACTGCGCCACCAGCTCCCGTCACGTTGCCTCTCCCAGCAGGGCTGCCCTCTTGCACAGAGCTGACATGGAGAAGGGATGGGGGAAGCCAGGCTGGGATATTCCAGCGCTCCCAGTCTTTCAGCCCAACAATTCTGCTCCCCCAGAGGAGCCCGGATGGGCTTTTATCAAGGGGAAGTCACCCAGCAGGCTGAAACATGGTTCACCAAGTTTTGTGCCCAGCCTGCCTCCACATCTTGGGCAAGCAACTGGCTGCTCCATTAGTGTCTGCACAGCATACACTCCGAAAAGCAGGCACAAGCAGTGTCCCCAGCACTGCCCGGGCTCAGGGCTCATGTTTCCTCCATCCCCTTCCTTCAAGCCAGGAGGGGGAACTCACCAGTGCCAGACTCCAGGAGGAACAGGGCCTGCTGGAGGTCGGAGCGGCTCAGCTCCAGCTCACTCCGCTGCAGCTCCAGCTGGGCCTTCAGCACAAGGAAGGCGGCACACCTAGGAGGACACAGCGCTCAGAGCCCCCCTGACAGCCACATCCCCAGTGCCTCGCTGGAGGGAGGGAAGCGGACAGCAAGAACAAGCCTGTTTCTGACCTGGTAAGCTAAACCCACGGGACAGCGCATCCCAGGACAGTCTAGAGCAGCTGCTTACTCCCAAAGCCAAGCAGCAGCCAACCCTCCCTCCAACGCTAGCTCAGCCCTGCCCACAGGTCCCCCAGACTCAGGCAAAAGCTCTTCCCACCCCAGCCACTCACCACCGAATCACTTGCAGTTTCATGGCCAGCTTGACAGCCTCCAAGCAGAAGGCTTTGGCTTCGCATACCATCTCCACTCTGCTGAGGAGAGCTACGAGGCGCTCCGAGCAGGCCAGCAGGTCAGCCAGCACTTGCCACTTCTGCAGCAGGTTTTCCCCTGCAAAGGAAGACAGGCAGGTGACCAGAGCTGCCCTTTGGAGTTCTTCCAGAGGAGCAGCTGCTTTTCAGTCCACACAAGCAAATAAAACTCACCACAATCCACAAACTGAACGTCTGACGCAGTCTTGTGAGAGCCCAGCACATTGCTGCCCATCAGCAGAAGGATGATGCTACGGAAAAACTTGTGGGCTTCGGTGAGAGCAGTCTCAGGCGTCCTCCACCCTGCACAACAGCCGTCACGAACATCAGCACTCTGCCCAGCATGAGATCAAATCATCCCTCCTCAGCCCAAACACAGCACACAGCGGGAAGGTCTCCAGTGGGACTTTGAAGAGCCATGCAGACTCCAGCTCCAGCCAATTTGGAGAAACCCAGAAGTCAGTGTTTGCACAGAGCTTTGTCAACAACCCCTGCAGCTCTCATCGCTGTGGGGCTCACCGAGAGGAGGGTCTGACACATCCATTAGGCCCCCTGGCAACCCACCTTGAGCAAAGATCTGCTGCCTGAGCTCCTGCGAGAGGTGGGCAGCAGGAAGGCTCAGGTAGACTGCTGTTAACTGAAGGACGTGGGCTCGGAGCAGGTACCAGACCTTTGCAATCTTCTGCAGAGCTGGGTTCTGGAGCACTTCCAGCAGCAGGGCAAGGCCTTCTTCAACCTGGAAGCGGAAGCAGAGATCAAGAGAAGGAGAAAAACTGTCACCATTCAGGGTCCAGAATATTTCCGTGTCCACCAAGGTGGGCTAAGGTGGCTAGCAAGAGGATATTGAAGACTGCCAGAGCTGTTGAGCTCTCCTCTTGCTCTCTGACCCCACATTGCAAGCAGAAAAGGGTTTTCAGCCCAGGCCCAAGCATTCAGATCTCCCCAGCGGAGGGGCCCTTGCAGGGCATACCTGGTGGCTGGCGCAGCAAAGCTGGCTGCGGAGCAGAAGGCAGGTTTGCTTCAGCAACAGGTAGGAATCGCCACTGCTGTCGGCCTTCTGCAAGCAGGACTCCGTCTCCTCCAGGAAGAGCTGGAAGGAGACAAGACAGCATGAGGGCTGCGGCCTCAGGGGAACAGCCAAACTCGCCCAGCAGCCTTGCCCTCCCTGCTGCCCCGCACTTGCCTTGGCATAGCTGGGACACTCCAGCTGGAAGAGCAGCTTGGTAACCTGGCACAAGGCACCAGCCATGCCCAGGCTGTCTCCAACCGCGCTGCACAGGGATCTGACCAGCAGGTAGCTCTCCAGAGCCTGCAGGGGCTGGGGGCAGGAAAACCCACACAGTTATGCTTGGAGACAACGCCAGAGGGATGTTTTGCCCCTGCAGAGGCTGCTTTCCCTCCAGCTGTCTCTGTCGCACAGTTCAGCCAAGCCCCCAGCAGCATTACCCTGGCCATCAGTCTGTAGAGAGCTGCCATGAGGTGCAGGGAGGCCACGGTCTGCTCCAGGCTGCGCACGCCGGGAACTCCCTTCTTCGCCAGGAGCTGCTTCCACAAGGCGAAGGCATCGTCCAGGCTCTGGGACTGAGCTAAGCACACGTCGTGGGCCTGAGCAGCTTCTCCAGGCAGACCACACCACTGCTAACACCACCACCACCCCCCCCTCCCAGCCTGGCTGCACAGCAAAAACAGCTGGGAGAAAAGGCATCTCCAGCAATGCCTCCAGCTTGCAAGAATGCATTTCCCTGCTGTCCCATGGGGCAGAGCTGCAGAGGAACATCTCCCAGTGTGCGCTCCCTCCCCACATCAACCCCATCGCCATTCCTTCCTCGGGCAGAGGAACCTCACTGGCTGAGGGGGCCTTTGCCACAAGAGGCTCAGTCACCACATGCTCACCAGACTCTGCAGCCAGGTTGAAGGCGATGCCGTCGTACAGGAACTTGTCCTCCTGCAGCTTGTCTTCATAGTTGAGGTCATTGGGCTCAAAGTCATCCAGGTGCTTCTGCCCCTGAGCTTTGGCTCTCTGCTCCCTCTCTATGCTCTGTGGCAGGTTAGGAGGCAGCAGCAACACATGTTAGGAGACGCAGGCAGGGCTTCCAGCCCCTTGGGCCCTGCTAGGGCTGCAGAAAGGCTTTTGGTGGCCTCAAAGGGAGAGGGCTGAGCAGGGAAGAGCTGAAGGGGGCCATTTTCCATAGGCAGTGCCTTCAGCTGGGATGCACTAGGTTTGCCCACACTAGTTGGGCGTAACTGGGAACCCAGGAAGCCTGAAAGGTTTCAGGAGGGTGGGGAGCTGCTTTTCCTCTTAACTGCTGAGTTTGGAGGAGATCTGCACATTAGGCATGTGCACAAAGTGGTTCTGGTGCCCTAGGACCACTGCAGCTTTTCCAGACCTGGGTCACCCATCAAGCAGGTGCTGCAACCCAGTTCAGCAACCTGCAGCTCCCCTTTGCTGCCCTCGCCTACCTCCTCTAGTTTGGACTCCAGGGTGCAGATGTACTGCCAGAGCAAGGCCTGTGCTCGGTCATCGAGGAGCTCATCCTGGTTCTGGGCGGTCCTGGGCACAGACTCCAGGAGCCGCAAGGCCTCTCGGATCGAGTCCAGGGAGGAGCTGCCAGAAAGAGGGATTAGAAACACAGCCTTCTGCACCCAAAACTCCTGGAGTATTTTAGGAGGAGAACTAGATATACTTAAGACATACCTAGAACAGGTTTGTCTTAAGCAATAGCACCCCTAAACCTTGTAAATCCCTTAAGTACCCTCAAAGGCTCTTTCAGGGCTCCCAGAGACACAGGACAGAGCCGTGTTTGGATATAGCTCTCCCGGTACGCCTGTATCCACCCACCAGTCCGTGTGCGCCGCGTAGTCATGATAACACAAGACCTGGGCCAGCTCCACCAAGCCGATGGCCCGCTCGTGCACACAGCCGCTCTCCTCCGAGCAGATCTCCAGCAGGTCGCAGATGACATTGTAGCGCTCCTGCCCCGTGTTGGCCCGCACGGTCTTGTAGGCCTTCAGCTCTTCGAAGAGCACGGCCACCAAGGTCCCGGCATCCAGGCAGCGCCCCTCCAAGCCATCCTTCAGGGTCCTGGGGAAACGGGTGCTATCTGGGTGGGGGGTTCTGCGCAGACACCACCCCACACGCGCAGAGCACCCAGGTCTTGCCTTACCGTAGCCGTATCTCCTCAGCCCCCTGCTTCGTGGCGTCCGTCTTGACTCTGGCCCAGAGGGAGATGGGCTCTGTCATCTGCTCCCTGATCTTACCCCGCAGGGCAGCCAACCACTGGACGATGGACACCAGGGCTCTCTCGAACCGACCCAGCTTCCGGTAGCTCTCCACCTGCAGCCTGAAGCATCTGTGCAGCTGTGGGGAGAGCATGAACAGTGCAGTAGGACTGGCTTCAGCACCCTGCAGAACTCCTTCTCTGCCTCCCTTGGAGAGCAGAATCGCATGCTGCAGCCCCTCATGTGGCTACTCACCCTTTCTGGGGGTATCTCTGGGTATTTATAGGCTTCTGCCATCTCCAGCCTCTTGCAAAAGAGCTCAGAGAGGGAGCTGGCCTCCTCATGAAGATTCTGGCTGTAGAAGATGTAGGCCAGCTTAAACGTGCACGATGCTGTCATGGATTAAAAAACAAATATTAAAGGCACTCTGGAGAGAGGAGTTACCCTCTTCCCTTGTCCAGCAAGGACTAACGCCCTTCGCACTAACCCTACAAGCTACGCTCTTTCCAGCTGAGAACCCAATGCTCTCCAAGCCCCGAGCTGCCTGGGGTGAGGCAGATACTGAGCTGTGCCCCTTCACCAGGGGCTTCAGACAGGGGGAAGGGTCCCAGTTGCTGTCCTAGGAGGCGGCACCACATTTGACCCACACCTGTGCAAAAGAGCCAGCTTCGGGCTCCCCTACTGCCACGGGGACACTGACCGGTGACATCGAGGTACTCTGCTCGCTCACTCGCGGGGAGCCCCTCCCGGGCCGCCAG